CGGCTAGTCATGTTTACAGCCACCTCTAGCCAGCTGTTAACCGGCTAGTCATGTTTACAGCCACCTCTAGCCAGCTGTTAACCGGCTAGTCATGTTTACAGCCAGCTGTTAACCGGCTAGTCATGTTTACAGCCAGCTGTTAACTGGCTAGTGAGCTTACAGCTGCCTCTAGCCAGCTGTTACGCAGCATAACTGGGACACAGTCAGCTATAAGTGATCATTAGTCTGATGTGACCCAGCTGGCAATGAATACAGAATCTGGTGGAACCAGCATAACCAATGTTTAGGGTGCAGTAACTAGAGGCTCACATAGCTACCTAAGGATCTAGCCACTGCAGCCAGCGGCAAAATTGATGTGCTCCCAAAGGTTGTTAATGTGACGAGAATGACATGAGTACATGCTGGTTAGGATCTGGGTCACCAAAGAGTCGCTCTGTGTAAGCCGTTTATGAAATCAAAACAAATTAACAGATGTAACTATTATGATATCCGCAACAGTGACTGGCTAGGTCAGTTATCGAGCTGTGGATAACCTAAAAGAAATTAACTTTTAAAGTAGGGCAGTGTTCTCTTCTCCCAAATTCTTGGCAGGAGCTGAGGGTCAGTGCTTGAGAGTGCCATGCTGCTGATTGGCCTGCCCCTCTCAGGCAGTGAACAGATGCATTATCTGCCCCTTGGGAGGTGTAAAATTATCATGTGTCCCCTATTTGAAGAAGAGTGGTGATGTCCTTTGTCCCTGACTAATATTTCTCTCTCAAGCAGTAGTGAAGGACTGATTTGTGTCATGTTATTGTTTATGGGATCTTGCTGTGTGCTAATGATCTGCCAAATTGAAACATAGCCTCATGCCTTCAAAAATATTTCCTTGGTGATGAAGTGATTTGGGACATCTGGAGATGATAAAAGACTGCAAAAATTCAGGTTCATTTTGATATAACACACTCCAACCTGCTGTTCTGTACGAGCAAGTGCTTTAAAATTGAGGCTGTTAGCACAGGCTGCTTTACACACAGCTAGCTGTCTTAGGTCAAGAGCACTGTATTACAGCACAGACCTGTTTTTGAAGAGCATAGTTTGTCACCATACTGTGTACAGTAAGTGATCCGTACAGACTGCAGCAGACAGCCTCTCTCTCAGATGTCTAATAGTGACAGATTGCAGTTTACTGGTATTTGAAAAAATCTGTCACCTAGCAGCATCAATCCCTCTAAACTGGGTATCAAATTCCAGCTGTTGTCTATCAGTCCCTGTTTGATCACTTGGTTTGCCAAGCTTGTTAATGCATTGATTGCACAGTATAAATCTAACAGGCTCTGCAATTCTAGCAGGGAATAGCTGGTGATGGTACGCCCTGGGAACTGTCCTCTGATGTAGTCCTGATCTATACTGTCGCTATCTTCCTGTGGCTTTTGCAGTCAGACTGTCAGATATGTGATGTGTAAACAAGTGCAAAGTATGTCTAGGAGCATGTGCACACATAAGTGTCTTGTATAACATCGGGTCTGATTGTGGAGGATTCTCCCCCTGCGTGGTAGATGTCTGTCCATTTGCATCTAATAGAGCCACTCACCTATAGGTAGTTATTTCAGCGCACTGAGGCTGTTCTCCCCGCTATTTTAACAAATCTGTACTTGTTCAGTGCTTTCTTGGCGGCATGTTTAGTGATTCCTCCGGTCAGACTGCATTGTTTTTGCCATGTCACTGTGGTTAGACCTCCAGATCTGGCTCTTGTTCTCTCTTTCTCACCTTATCTCTCTATCCAACCCACCACTTTTTCTTTTTTAAAAAGGATTGTACATTTTTGTAATTTTAACTGAGGGTGAAGAAGCAGTGATAAAGCAGCCAAAAATGTGGTGCTAAATCTGGCAATTTCAGGGCAGTCGCAGGATGTTTTGATGGGGTCGTTGTCACAGAGTCTGCCATGCTGTTGATTCTGAGTCAGCTTGGCTCTCTAACCTGATGCTGCAGTGCAGCATGTCAGAGGTGTTGAGCCGGGCATCTGTTTACCCCCCCTCAGGGGTGACAACAGCACAATATTTGACACCTCCCTGAAGAAGAGCATGTGAGTTTACCTAGTATACTGGTCAGTATCAATCAAATAAAATTTAGCTGGCTGTTAATCAATTGTTAATGGGGTCTTGCTGTATGCAGTTCACACCTTTGCTACGTAACAGTGATGCACTCCTTTAGTCGTTTTGCTGTAATTTACGGTTTGCTCTTTTGGAAATTAAACATAGATGTTCATTGCCAAGTTTGATTGGCAAAGCATTTAACATTTTAGATGCATTCCTGTGGAAATGTCTCCCTCTCCCACCTATTCAGTGAATCCATTTGCTTGGTTATGAATCATTGTGGGTAAGGCCTAATTGCAGCCTGATTTCAGGGCTGTATATTAGTGTGGACAGATGGGCCTTGATCTGCCCGCATTGCTGCTTGTTCTAACTCTACCGATGATCTTCATTAATGAGTGAATTATTTTTGTGGCAGCCACAGGGTGAAACTCAGAATGGGGGAATATAGCCAAAAGCAGAAGTAATACTTCCTCAAGATTGCCGTTTTGTACGAAGAAGGTCAGCTGGCAGGTTAAAATGTTAGTCCTAAAGGAAGGTATGTCTCTTAGGTGCGACTTCTTGGGGAGATTGAACTGTGGGGTTCCTTCGGTTTGTCGCTTTCTTGGTTATTTTTGCTTTCAACTTCTATATTTCCTGTAATTGAGAACCCAGACAGCGGTTTCACTTTCCTTCCCATGGCCGTTTTGAAGCAATACTGGGACATCGCTCTACTTTCTGCTTGGCCTTTTGCTCAATGGCTGTGTCATTTGCACGTGATCCAACTGGAGAGGAAGTTAGTGTTCATTCCACGCTTCTGCAGCAATGCTGAGAGCACCAAGTCATCATTGTAGAAAGCGATCACCACTGATATCATGGGAACCATTCAAGTGACACTGGCCCAGGCACAGTGTTGTCAGGAGGTGAAAGCGACCTGATTCCTCCTTATTCTGAATTTCCTGCCCAAATCAGAAGCTTGCTCCAAGAAAAGCTGCTGCTTAGGGAACCAGGGCATTCCTAAACTGTAGTATCTTGTGGGTATCAAAAATATCGGCCCTGCCAGTGGACAAGGTGAAGGACAGAGTGACGCTGAAATTCAAAACAAAGAACGATGTTGGTATTTACTTGGCTTGTAACTAGGGCCAGCGTACAGATTATCACATCAGAGAAAATTCCATTGGGAGCCCTGTACCTGCCAGTGCTGCATCCTGTTGTTGTGCAGCTCTGAGAATGCGGCCTTTCGGGCTTAGCCCAGCAGAGATGCTGTAGCTATGTCCCTGGCTGGCTGTTAGGGTTCATGTTATCTTACACGTAAAGACGTTTAGTCAGATATTCTGATGACGAGCGCTGTTAATATTGGGGCAATGGGTACCACGCAGTTCCTTTACTGGTCTTGGGTTCACCCTGTCTTTCTTACAGCATTTTTTCCTAGGTCTGAGATAAGATGATTCGTATGCATATTGCAGTCTTCAACTTTGTCTTTAGTTCAGCTAGAAAAACAGCCTAAAGGTTGAGGTTTTATTTAACACCTGTGTGTTTGGCCTGTACAGGTGATCGTGGAGAAGGCACCAAAGGCCAGGATAGGGGACCTTGACAAGAAGAAGTACCTTGTACCATCTGACCTGACAGGTAAGCCAGCACTGCCTGTCTCTCCACAGACATGACATCCACCCAATTAATACCAGCAGCTTCAGGGACCGCCATTGTTGTGTTCTGGACCCAGTGCGGCTGCATCCACCTTTGTATCTTTTACCACATAATATCCACCACATCCATAGCCTTATTTGACAAATCCTCTGTTTTAATGGCTATGTTTGAACCCCTGCCATTTATCTTCAGGCCGATGTTGAGGAACTTTTCCTTGACTTTGAGCCACTTGAGTCTGGGAATGTATATGGAATGTGGGAATCATTGGCCAGTATAACACTCAACTGAGTAGCTTGCTGGCAGAATGCTTAAGTATGTTTATTCAAAAGGTACTTTTTGATTTTTAGGGGCTTTTGTTTTATTCTGTGATCTCCAGCATTTGTTGATTTCAGACCCTAGTTAGCTGATTCTTTGAAAGGTTTTAACCTGTTCTCTCTCTTGGCAGTTTTTTTTCCCATCCTTGCAGCCACTTCCTCTATCCCATACCCCTTACCATCAAGTCATTCAATCCACCAGTTCTCTTTGCAGCATCCCTCATCTCTGTCAGTAACAAACACAGGAGAAAACCCACCTGCGGTGGGAGAGGCAGCTTCTCCTAACCCTTTCCTTCCATTCGATTCACATGAATCAGCCTTCACTGATTGCTCTCCCTCCTAAATTTTTGATTGGCAGTGGATTTGGCAGCTGCCCTCAGTTTATTTTGACTCTTTCTTGTTAGGCTATTTCAGGTAAGGATGACTGAATTCCCTGGCATTAGAGATGGGGATTTCTGCGAAAGAGTTTCCTGGTCACTGTGACGAAGATTAGTTTTCAACCCCAGATTTGTTCATAAATTCAGTTAAAGTTTCATCAGCTGGGTGGGATTTGAACCTGTGTCCCCATTACTCTGGGGTCGTCTGGAATTTACTGGCTCAGTAACATCGACCTTACCACCTTTCTTCCCTAAACGCAAGCCAGGAAAATATTGAACCTACCCATGGGAATTGGCAGCCAAGGATTTTCTTTTGTAGATGTATCTGTATCCTGAATAAGCTCTGGAGCTAGGGGAGGTAACTGCATCTTTAAATGTGCAGCCAAATTGGTATGAAAATTCACATTTTGTTGGTTGAAGGTGGGTTTATCACCTTTGAGGTTTATTGAACTCCACCTTGAGCTGCAGTGAGCACCTACTTTTGTTTGTCGTCTTGTTTTTAAAAAAAAAAGACTCCCTACAGTGTGGAAGTCAACCATTTGGCCCAGTGAGTCCATGCCAACCCTCCGAAGAGCATCCCACCCAGACCCTCACCCCTACCCTATCCCCATAACCCTGTATTTGCCATTGTTAGTCTGCCTAACCTGCACATCTGTGGACTGTGGGAGGAAACTGGAGCAACTAGAGGAAACCTGCGTAGACACGGAGAATGTCTGTGTGGTGTTTGCGCAGTTGCCCAAGGCTGGAATCGAACCTGGGTCTCTGGTGCTGTGAGGCAGCAGTGCTGATCACTGAGCCACTGTGCTGCCCCAAATAGTTTACTTTCTAAAGCAATTGTTTTTGTGGGAATACCTGTGTCTGCTCCATCCATTACTGTGTGGTATACGTGTGTGTGTCAGTCCTCTTCACTCTAAATGGCACATTCTCAGACAGATTTGGTGTGTAGCATGTTTTGGTACGGAAGCCCATTCCTTGTGTTTTTTTTCAGCGCTCTGCTGTGTTTGTTGCCTGCTGATTTACTGATCAGTTTTTTTTTGGCACTGCCCACATTGATTTGCTGGACTAATTCCCGTGTCTCTGCCTTACCCATGAGTCGTCATGTTTCCCTGTCTGGCAGTACGTGTCATACAATTCAGTCACGTGTGCCTCTGGAGCACAGGGAGAGGTCAGCTAAATGCGAAAAGGGGAGGCTGTTAAAGCTGGCCCTGCAAAATGAAAAACGCAACAGCCTAGTTGGCAGTGCCTGTTAAACAGCCAGCCAATTAACCCTTTCCCCTCTCACTCTGCAGCTGTGGTGATTTCTGACATGTTGCATGTTTCAGGCTGAGCACCTCCAGATTCTCCCCTGATTAATATCTGTAATCAGCACTTTGAGATGCTGTTGATACAGCTTTGTAAGCGTGCTGTTCGCCTTACAGACTGGATCGATGTCAAGAATCTGCAAAGGTGGGAAGGGCCAGAATGTGTCACTGTCACCTTGAACTACAAAGGTTGTGAAATTCACTAATAACACAACTTAAAGCTTTTCTTATCTTAACACCCAAAGCATTCAGAGTAAGGTATGCAAACTGACAAAGCAGATTGAGTAAATGAATATGATCTCAGCCATTATGGAAGCATGGTCACAAGGCAACCAAACTGGGAAGGTAATATTCCAGGATATTTGACCTTTTGGTGGATGGAATAGCTGGTGGAGTAGTTCTGTTATTAAGAAATGAAATGAGGAAATTTGAGAGATGATCTAGACTCTAGAGTCCGTTTGGGTGGAGGTAGAAAAACAGCAATGGAAAGAAGACTTTTGTTAGTTACCAGACCCCCAAATAACACCCATCCCATGGGAAAGGCTATAAGTTGACAAATTGGAGCATGTAAAAAGAATAGAGCAATAATTATAGGTGACTTTAATCTTGTTGGTTGGGTAATCAAATTGGAAAGGGTGGCTATGACAGTGAATTTGTAGTGCATTGGGGATACTTTTCTGGAGCCATAGTTCATGGAACCAACCAGGATGCAGGCTGTTTTATATCTAGTAATGGGTAATGAAGTGGGTTTAATACATGATCTCCGTGTGATATATCCCCAAAGTAGTGATTACGGCATGATAGAATTTAATATTTAGTTTGAGTGGGAAGGAAACAACTCTTTTCCTTAAAGGGAATTGCAATGAAATAAGGAATTGTGTGAGCTAAAGTGAACTGAGCGATTGCTTACTGTCATTCCTGTTAATCTAACAGTGGCAGGCATTTAAGGAGGCAATTCATGACTCTCGGCAAAAACACATCCCAGTCTGGAGGGAAAGATTCTAAGGAATAAATCAACCGTGACTAGCCAAGGTCGTTGAGGAGGATGTTGCGTTAAATGGAAAAGAACATAAAGAGGCCAAAGTTGCTAATAGCCCTGAAGACTGGGATAAATTCAGAATCCAGCAAAGGAGGACTTGATAAAGACAAACTACCACAGCAAACCAGCAAGGAATATGAGAACTGACTATAGGATCTTCCTTAGAAATATAAAAAGGAAGAGACATAAAAGCTAGGCTTGCCCTGCAGCAGGTGGTGACGGAACCAACAAGGGGGGAAAATACATCCTTTCCGTAACAATCTGCCGGCTGCAGACCCATCTGTCCATGACAGTATCAGTAAGAGTGACCATTGCACAGTCCTTGTGGAGACGAAGTCCCGCCTTCACATTGAGAATAACCTCCATCGTGTTGTGTGGCACTATCACCGTGCTAAATGGGACAGACTTTGCACTGAACTAGCAACTCAATACTGGGCATCCATGAGGTGCTATGAGCCATCAAAAGCAGCAGAATTGTACTCCAGCACAATCTGTAACCTCATGGCTCAGTATATCCCCCACTCAACCATTACCGTCAAGCCAGGGGATCAACCATGGTTCAATGGAGAGTGTAGTAGGGTATGCCAGGAGCAGCACCAGGCATTACTGAAGGTGAGGTGTCAACCTGGTGAAGCTACCAAGGGATACTTGCCAAACAGCATAAGCAGCAAGTGATAGAGCCAAGCAATCCCACAACCAGTGGATCAGACCTAAGCTCTGCATCCAGTGGTGGACAATTAAACAACTCGCTGGAGGAGGAAGCTCCACAAATATGCCCATCCTCAATGATGGAAGAGCCCAGCACATTAGTGCAAAAGATAAGGCTAAAGCATTTGCACAGTCTTTAGCCAGAAATGCCGAGTGGATGTTCCATTGCGGCCTCTTCCAGTGGTCCCCAGCATTACAGATAGTGGTGTTCAGTCAATTCAGTTCACTCCACGTGATATCAAGCCGTGGTTGGAGGTGCTGGATACTGCAAAGGCTATGGGCCCAGACAACATTGCAGCATCAGAACATGATATCTCCCTACATGGGAGAGTCTAGGACCAGAGGGCATAGTCTTAGAATTAAGACATGCCACATAAAGACTTTGGTGAGGAACTGAATCTTTGAGGATCAAAAGTCTTTGGAAATCCTTGTCACAGAAAGCTGTGGGAGCAGAGTCCTTGTGGGTATTTAGGGCTGAGAGAGATTCTTGATCACTCGGGCAATCAAGGAGTCCCTAAAATGGGCAGGAAAGCAGACATGAGGAATGTCAGATCAACCACGGCCCTGTTGAACGATGGAATAGGCTCGAGGGGCCGAATGGCCTACGTCTGTTCCTGTTTCTTAGTGTTGTCATTGCTGAGAATACTCCAATGTCCAGTAATTGCTAAGACCGTAGAGGAAGTTGGCATCTTTGTAGGGATTGATTTAAGTTGGCTAAAACTGAATTGCAGTGTGTTTTGTTTGCTTTTTGCTCACTACTTTGTGTTTCTGGCCTTCCTTCAGTTGGACAGTTCTACTTCCTGATTCGAAAACGCATTCACCTGAGAGCTGAGGATGCCCTCTTCTTCTTTGTAAACAATGTCATTCCACCGACCAGTGCAACCATGGGTCAGCTTTACCAGGTCAGTCATGGGTGCTGGTACTGATGGGGAGCTGTACCAGGGTGGTAGTGGATTCCAGTGCCTGCAAGTGGCGGAGGGGATGGTGCACACAAGCTGTACGAGGTTGGTAATGGGTGCCAGTGTCCACGCCAGCATTGCTGCTTCCATTTGAGCACTTCCTTCAGATTTTATCTCATTTCACTTTTAACAGCTTGATGTGCTTCCACCTGGGAACTGCACACCAATGAAGAGCGTGATTGGCCAATTTGAGCCCTCCAGGCTTGCTACAGCATTCAGTATAATTGTGACCTCAAGTCCACTTTCCCTCCATACCTATACCCTTTGACTCCCCTATAAATTGAGAATCAATGAGTCCCCTCCTCTACTTCTCTAGAAAATAATGGTATAGACTCTTATCTATGTGAGAGAAGACAATGTCTCCTTATCTTGACTTTTAAATAGGAGACCCCAAAATTAATACCTCTTGTTTCTGTGTGCGTGTCTTGTCTTCCCCTTGCCCCGCAACAAAAAAAGGGGAAAATAGTTGCTTAATATCTACGCTGTCAAGTTCCCTCCGTATCATCTGTGTCAGCCAGGGTGTGACTCATTTGTCTAAACTTCAGTGGATACAGATCCAGCCTGTCCAATCTACCCTAACAAACACGCTTTGTCTTTCAAGGAAATCCATTGTGAACCTTCTCAGAGCTGTTTCCCATGCAGTTATACCTGTCCTTAAGGTGACCATACATGACTGCATGTACACATTATTCTGAAAGCAGTCTTGCCAGTGCTGTACACAACTGAGAAAAACTGCTTTGGCCTGAACCATCCTGTTAAGCAAAGGAGACGTGAAGACTGAATTTCTTAAAAAAAAAAAAAAAAAAAAAAAAGTGCAGGCAAAGCAAATCCTAGAACAAAATCTGTTTGTCAAACCTCAATCTCATTTGCAGCCAATTTCCCTCTGAATGTTTTGCCAAAACAAACTTGATCTGAGATTTAGAAATGTGAGGGTGGTTGTTGACTTTTATAATGTTTTATAATGTACAGGATTGTGTTCAGATGTGATAACCAGATTACCTCTGATATTGAATGTTGGCATATTTCTTGTAGCTCTGTGTAGCACCCACGCATCTGAGTCAGAAACACATGGGTTTAACTGTGAGGCCTGAGCTGGTAGTCTCCTGCGGCATCGAGGGAGTGCTGCACAGTCAGAGGGGCCAGCACTGGGGTCGAATGTAAAACAGGGGAGGGTGGGGGAGAGACCTTTTCTGCCCCCCTCCTGATGGATCCCATGTTACTGCTTGAATGAGAGTAAGATATTTCTCTCTGGTGCCCCGGCCAATATTTATCCCTCCAGTTGTGTGAATAGAGAGCTGCCTGTCAAATTGTTCTCTGTGCAAATTGCCCTGCGGTCACAACAGTGACTTCACTTCACAAATCTCGGAGCTCTGGGACCATCTGGGTGTGGTGAAAGGCGAAATGCGATCTGTTCCCCAGTTCATCGTCTGGGTGGCTTGCAGCCCTGTCATACGTGGGTGATTTGAACCCGTGGTGAAGCCTTAGCTCGAGTATAAAGAAATTTGGGTGCGGGTTAACTGTTGCGGCCTGTTCACCACCTCCCCGTTTCTGTTTCTCAGGAGCATCACGAAGAGGACTTCTTTTTGTACATCGCCTACAGTGATGAGAGTGTCTACGGAATCTAATGTCTGCTTTGCTGCTGATGGCTTCAGAGGCTTTGGTGTTCTCTGGCTCTGCACTTCCTGGTGTGTTCTATAAATGCTGATCATTTTTGTGTTTCTGTCATAACCTGGATAAATGGAGATGGGGGGTGGGGGGAAGGAATTGTGGGTTGGGGGCGGGTTGGGGGCAGCAGGAGATGAAGTAGTCCTTTTTAAATGACCTGTTCTGATGTGTCAGTTTCTGAGCTCTTACTGTTATGGTTCCTGCAGTCCTGCTTCTGGCTGTTTTGATTCCCTTTAATTTTGCCGGGTTGAAGGGGGGGAGGGGGGTTGGTGGTTTGTGGGGGTTAATTTTTCTCCCTGTATTTTTCGTTCACCCTTAATGTCAACTCAAAGCTGATTGGATGAGTCTTTCGCCAACTGTGCCGTATAGCTGCCAAAGGACACACCTTATGTACCGTGGAAGCTAATAATAAAACGCCAGTACACAGTGCCTCCGTATTGTCTCATTCATTTTACTTCCAGCCTGTTTTGTTTCCTTTCTTCCATGAGATGTGGTTTCTTGTTGCTTCTCAATTGACCTTGAACTGAGCTGTGGGTCTAGAGAGACATGTAGGTCACACCAGCCAATAATGACACATTTTGAGGGACATTAGTGTGATCTGGATGTTTTCTTTTTGTGGTCTCCGTTCTGAGATTTGAATTTCAACTGTAGTAGTGACTGTGTTGAACCCACATCCCCAGAGCATGAGGCCAGATCTCGACTGCTAACTGAGTGATATTACCACTGCACGCACCATCTTGCCACATCTGTCCTCCCCCTTTTCATAGAATCCCCACAATGTGGAAGCAGACATGACATCTGTACCAACTCTCTGAAGAGCATCCCACCCAGAGCCACCCCCTTACCCTGTCCCTGGAACCCTGCATTTCCCATGGCCTGCACATTCCTGGACACTATGGGACAATTTCCCATGGCCAGTCCACCCTAACCTGCACATCTTTGGGCTGTGGGAGGAAACTGGAGCACCCGGAGGAAACTCGGATCGGGAGAGCACCCTCCAGCAACAGCGTGGAATCAAACCTGGGTCCCTGCCACTATGAGGCAGCCGTGCTCACCACAAAGTCGAGCTGATAGAATTGCAGCTGTACTGGAATAGATAAGCTGGGGGCAGTTAACAAGTGGAATGTTACAGGAAGCACATGGGAATCCATTGTTCTGCAGACGTGTTGCACTCTGAGCTGTCTCACTGCAGTTGTAATATTGGCAAGGCTGAAGCAGTCACAACCATCTTCAAATGAAAGTGCAACGTAGCTGCTCCATCTCGCCTCCCCAGCATCAGAGAAGCCAGTCATCAGCTAATGTGATACACTCCCAAGCGTTATCCGGAAATGGCTGAAGGCAGTAGGGGCTGACTACGTTTTAGCCAGTCATCACCTCATTGGTCAATAATCCCTAAAGTTAACGCCTTTAACGTTAACACTGATTTCTTTCTTCACAGACCTGCTGAGCTTTTCCAGCAACTTCTGTTTTTGTTCCTGATTTACAGCATCCATGGTTCTTTTTGGTTTTTAACCTCCTCAGTCAACCCTTGATCAATAGGAAAACAACAAGATTGTCATTAGTGCTATAAAGGAATTCATTTGGCAATAATCTGCTCGTTACCTTCAGTTTGGGTTCTGCCAAGTTGATTTAGCTCCTGACTTTATTCCAACCCGTGGCATGATCAAAAGAGCCCTGGAGTTGAAAGTGACAGCCCTTGATATTGAGGCAACATTTCACTGTGACATTACTGAGGGTGTAGACTTGCGACGATGTTACCTAGCGGGGTGACGAAACGTCTGCAGTCAAACACACCGGATCAGTGAGCAAGGTCTACAACCTCATCCACAACCCGAGCTACAAATCTTCTCAAAAGCTTTAGTCATTACGGAGTTCTAGCGAAACTGGAGTCAATGGGAACTGAAGGAGGAGTGTTATCAAAGGGAATGAAGTGTAATTATAAAAAGCTTGTTGTGTATGTTGGAGGTCCGTCATCTCCCCACTCCAGGACAGCAGTGCAGCAGTTCCCCTGGCTCGGTAATTTCTAATCCACCTGTTCAGAGAGTTATGACATTCCTCTGGAGCAGGTGGGCCTTTGACCCAGGATCTCCTGGCTCAAAGGTAGGGGTGCTACCACTTACAAAAAAAAAACAGAGTTCCTTAGGATATTTTAGCCTGTTCAGAGAGACCTTTGTCACATTTCTGGAACAGGTGGGATCTGAACCCAAGCCTCCCAGCTCAAGCGGCCCTCTGGGTTGTGTCTGAGGCCCATGAGTTTTCAGTTGCTCAGACAATGACCGTCCCTCCGTCACTAGGTCAGGAGTGGGTGAGTAGGTTAATGAGTGATCAGTCACAACTTGACCAAGCAGGCCGAGAGTATTCCATCCCATTCCTGATTTGGCTTTTAAGTGATGGGGTCTTCAGTCATTGAAGGTGTCTGGGCCTGTTACCAAGCAAGACCCAGACAACATCCGGCCTTTACTTGATAAGAGGAAAATAACCTTAGTGTGGCACAAGTGCCAATGCCCATTTCCCACCGAGAGAAAGTGAGTCTGTCTCCATTTGATATTCATTGGTGTCACCGTTGCTAATTTCCTCTGCCATCAACGTCCTCTGGGGGATATCATTAACCAGAAGCTGAACAAGACATGTAAACGCTGTCTGCAGGAGCAGGTCAGAAGCTGGAGACTCTGCAAAGCCTTCACACTCCTGAACAGTGTTGGAATACTCTCAGCTTGCTTGGATGAGTATAGCTCCAACCACGTTGAAAATGCTTGACACACATCCAGGGCAAAGTCAGCCTGCATGGTTGGCACCCCTGGCATCCAGGGCTGGATTGCCGTGCGTGTGCTATCTACAAGATCCTCCATCGCCAATGCAGTGAGGCTTCTTCGGCAGCAGCTTTTCAGCGTAAGGGAGTGCGAATGGAGTGTTGGACAGTCTCACAGAGGGTCTGTGCTGCCATTGTGTGGCGCTGAATGGCTAAACCATCACAGGTAAACACATGATGGCTGCAGATAAAAGGGGAAGAGCTTTCCTTTTACCAACTGCTCTCTTTTTTATTTAAACCATCTGGGCACTGCCCCTTGTGAATGCCAGTTTGCCTGCCTCTTGGCTCCATATCGCTGGAAGCAAATTTGTTGAAATGTTATCATGAGCCGGTTTTTCCTTCTCCACTCAGGAGACTGCAGCGGCTGACTGAGCTGAGGCCAGTTCACTTTCTCTCAGGAGGCTTACAGTGCAGGGGACGCTGTTCAGTCTTATCATGTTTTGTTCTTTCTTTCTCTCTCCCCTCTCTCTCCTTCTCCTCCCACCCAGCACAATACAGCGTGGTAGTGGTAATGTCTCCCCTAGCTCGACACTGTCTTCCCCAGGCAGCTGCCTTAATGTGGTGCGTGGCAGAGATGTGCCCGTGTCTCTGTAATTTTGCACCTCTCCCGTTTCCACTGGGATTCCTTTTTAAATGAGGCAGCGTCATCGAGAAAATCTCAAGCCTCCGCACTGATCTGATTGAAAGCGAGTGGCGTTTTTTGCAGTCCTCCCTGATCTTGCCCTGTGTCATACGTGTAAAAGCACGAGCTAAGAGCATAAATGTTCTGGAGCGATGAAACCTCCCGAGGGCTTAAAATCCAAGTTCAGGTGAGTGCAACTGATTAGCTCACTGGCATGTGTTACCAGTGGTGGCTGTGGCTGTGCCTCTCCCAGGGGGCATTAGTTTTACATGTCAACTTGGCATTGGGAGTAGGGTTTGGGGTGAGCATGTTGCAAGTTACACCCTTGCAGAACTGCAAACTCACTAAAAATGTTGGGTGTCTCTTAATTTTGACACACGGAATGCAAGAAGGGGCAGAAAATATTCATCGCTTAGCCCTTGCATTAAGTATTGCTTCGGGGGATGTAGGTGATGCTGGCAAGCTTGTCCATTCCTAATTGTTTGGAGTCAAACACATTGCTGTGGGTCTGGAGTCATGTGTAGACCAGACCAGGTAAGGATGGCAGATTTCCTTCGCTAAAGGACATCCGTGCATCAGATGGGTTTTTAATGCAGAATTAAAAGTCTTGCTATAATTGGTTGATACGGACTTGGGTGATGGCATTATGGTCTGGATTGGGTGGGGGAGAGGAGGCAGCAAAAGGAAGTCTGTATCTCCCTAAGGGTTTTTGAGTTAAATGGTGCTGTACTGAACTCGGGGCAAGAATGATGCTCTGAACTGGATCATAGGTCCCCACTCCTCATTATCTCCCTGTTTCCCATGCGGAATTTTATCCGGGCCCGGTCCCTTGGCAACTCTGTTAGAGACTTGTTCTTCATGTGGCCCCAGGGCTCATCGCATCAAGACCAGCAGGAGGCCATTCAGCCCCCTCCTGTTATTCGATCAGATCGTGGCTGAGCTCTAGTGAAACAGCCTTAGTCCTGCATTCCCGTGTTACCGTTCAATCGATCTCCCTTTAAAAGATCTCAAAGGTTGTATTTGTTCGAGCGGCGTTGGCCACGTTCATCCTGTTGCAAATGAATCCTGCTGTTATCTGATGGTTTGTTTGTCACTGCTGAGCTAACCCCAGCATTGGAGCATGTACCTGAGGGCATTGAGCTGGGATTGACCTCAGTGCTTCAGCCTCTGTAGTCCTTCCCAGCATTCTGAGCTAGGTTCCCAGGGTGACTGTCACCCCTCACGTTCCGAGCGGCAAATTTCATGGCATATTCTACAGAGACAACGTAGCTGACTCCAATTCCCTCCAGACCCAGCAGTTAACAACTAGAAATGGGAACTTTGACAAGCCTCGAAACCCTCCTGCTTTGTGTGAATGCGACCACCATTTGACATAGCAACTGGGCATTGGGCCCAAAACCATTCCCCACCCCACCGTCTGAAAAATACCAAGGAGGAACGGAGCAGTTAGGATGAGAGGCCACAGACCAGAAAATTACTGTTTTGTTAAACAAAGATATTAAGGGATGTGGATCAAAGGTCAGGCCACAGATCAGTCATAATCTCATTAAAAGGCTGAATGGCCTTCTCCAGTTCTCGTGTCCATCAGAGTCTATGGCTCACCTGACTCGAAGCATCCTCCATTTTAATCATTCTGCCATTGGCAACCAGGTCTTCAGCCTGAATCCTCCACATAAATCTCTCTGGTGCTCTCTCCTTGACAAGACTCCTTTATAACCAATACCTTCTGTGGTTTGGGGTCAACAGGTCAGAGAGTGGGAATTTTCTGTTGAGTAACTCCCCTCCTGACTCCCCCAAAGCCTCTCCCACCATCTACAAGGCACAAGTCAGGAGGATGATGGAATACCCCCCACTGGGCCTGGATGGGGGCAGCCCCAACAACACTCAAGAAGCTCAACACCATCCAGGACAAAGCTCGGCTGGCACCACATCTACTGCGTTTTAACACAAGCTTCCTTCACTAATGTGCAGTGGCAGAGGTCTGTAACATTGACAAGATGCACTGCAGTGACTTACCGAGTCTCCTCCTGCAGAACCTTTTCAAACCCAGGACCGGGTCATCTGCAAGTTCCCCTCCGAACCACTCACTGTCCTGGCTTGGGGACATTTCCATCCCTTCAGCGTCACTGAGTCCAAATCCTGGACACTACAATGGA